ATGTGTGCAAACTGGTGCAGCTTGATTGACTTTAATTTGTTTGGACTTGGTATAGGTATGTGCTTTAATGAGTGCTAATTATATAATAGTTCTAAATATGTCTGCACCCAAAACAGTATTCTGGACATGGCCTGTGTGTCATCAGTGAAAGCATGAACACAACAAATGAAGCATTGCGTTAGTTCATGCAGGACACGGAGTCATGTGCTCGGCTGCCAGCTACTGATAGGTTTATGGGTGTTCGTCAGTCACCCACCAATCACAGCCCATTCTCTCACCAAAGCAGTCCCTTTAAATACGATCTCCTCCTAACTGATCCCTGCTCAGCTACAACTTGCCTCCACCACCCCAGCCTCCACCCTTTAGCACCGGGTTAAAACACAGTCGTAGTAAACGATATTCATCTTAAACAAACGTACCTTGCCTGCTACGCCCACTGGGGGGTTCTGCATATGTTCCCTGTTTCCCCTTTTAGCTTATCGGCTAATCCAAAGAATGGAGCCTTCAGCGCCAGTCATAACTCTATGCCCATTTGCAACAAATGGGTAAATCATCACAAAGTGTTCCTGACGGAAAGTCGATTAATGGTGCTATTCAGATGCTATAAATTGATTTGGAAAAAAACACTTAACATGATCCTCATCTCCACTTTATCCCATAATTTGAACAAAGCAAACCAAAGTGATTCTCCCTGAGGCAGAAAGTAAAAAAAATAAAATATGTACATTATTCACCCTCTCATCTGCCCAGTATAATATATGCTCGTATATTATCCACAGTGAATGAGTGACAGTAGCCATAAACTTCTATGAGATCATTGTGTCCAGAGCTGAGAAGCTGTGTTGATACTGTGAACCAGTACTATAGGTTGCAGGCAAATTGAGGCACAATGCAGCAGCAGCAGCAACACAACAATTAATCATAGTCACTCAGAGTATAACAACTGAGCAGTGAAGTGCCTGCATGAGTGATTACACTTGAGCAGCAGCAGCATGGGCGCTTATGTTTAGCAAACAAAGAGTGCTTCTGGAGTGAATGCTGGATGGGGACAGCGACTCTTACAGCCGACAGCTGCTCTTCAAGTGTGTGCATGAAAGGTTGAAACCTCTGCTTTGATGTGATAACGGCTGACCGACCTGTCGGATTACAGCAGGATGAAATATGACAGCTTTCCACTGCAGAGAATAAAAACATTATACTTCAGCTTGTGCCCTGACTGGACTGGACAGACTCTGGAAACCAGCGTGCACAGGAAACACGGATTTATTGTCTGACTCAAACTGAGATTACTGACACATAAACCAATCTTTACATCTGCTGGTTTTTAGACCACCTCAGATAATGTACTTCAGATTGTGCAAATTTCACTAATTGTTTGAAATTCTGAATGTGTTTTCCTGCACCAGGTTGCTGGTGGAAGTGAGCCACCATAACAGCAAAGGCTTTGCACATGCCAAGAAATATACAGTAACCAATTGTTCCTGTTAACAAGGTCACTGAATGCCTTTGAATTTGCTGCTACATGTGTTTTATCTGTCTTGGTACTTTATTGGGAGACACAATGGGGCCCATAGAATGTCAACATAGTAAATGGTCTGTATCTGTATAGCGCTTGTCTCTTCCTTATGACCACTCAAAGCTCATTACGATACAGTTTTGCCATTTACCCATTCACACACACACATACAGTGCATCTATAATGTGCTGCACTGTCTCGATCATACGTTACTCATACACTGCCCAGAGGCGTCAAGATGTACGGCTTCATACGGCAGAGTCCTGGCATTTAGTTGAGTACATACTGGTACTTGTATTCAAGAATACACAGTAGTCATACCGGAAACTCAGGTAGCAGCTCTGCAGCAGACACACTCCCAGTGTGAACAACAGATGCCTGTGAGTTGCTGCAGATCAGCAACGCAGCCGTCACACACGCTGCACATGGACCCAGTGTGGCCCAGGCATTAGTATCAACAATTTCTCACATGCCGTCTTCATTCTCTTTGTTGTCACAGTTTGCACTATGAAAATCTGTTATTTTTTGGTTCCAATTTTCAGGTTCCAAACAGTTCAGAGTTAGCTGCATGACCTGTTCCATGTTGGTGGAAAAGAGTTCTGAGTATAAAGATGTAGAGATGGAAACCAACATTAAGTGTATCAGCAGGGATGGATAAAACTTTTATTGATCCCCACAGGGAAACTGCTTTGATGCACAACTCATAGTCTGGAGAGAGGAAGTAAGTAAGTATAAAAGGAAAAAACTACTATAAAATAAAACCAATAAAAGTTAGTGAAAAGAAAATATGTGCACATATAGAAAAAGTAGTATGCAAGATAGAACCTCCAGGCCTCTTCAACATTAACATACAGCAAGTCCAGGCTCTTGTATGGTGCATGGTATGCACATAGCCTCACAGCTTACAGTTCCATCCTGACTGACATGCACACAGAAACAGACATATACCAAAAACTGCATTTACATGGGGACGTTTCCCTTTGCTGGCACCCAGACATCTGATATGTGCCATTGAGTCCCAACCAGACGATATAGGGGGTCACAAGCTAAATGGTTGAGAAACACTGGTTTGATTTACCACCACAAGACTTCCCAATTCATGCTTCAGAGCCCTACGCTGCACCCTGACGTGTACTTACCCAAAAATCTAACTACACATCGAGGCGACACAGACCACTAGAGCTGTGATTGGAATGTGATTAACATCATGCAAAAACGATGGGCGTACTTTGCGTGCATGCGTCGTTTCAATGCAGAAGCATGAATTGGGCTGTTAAACATTAGTAACAGTGAACACAGCAACATACCGGATCTGAGGCTGACTAGCATAAAGAACCTGGATAAACACTGCCACCAAGTGGGCTAACACTGCAGTTACAAAGTTACAGTGAGAACTTCAGAAAACTGTCAAAGACATTGTTATACAGTTTATTGTTGTGTTTTAATGTCGATTTCAAACTGACTGGAACCTAAAAGGCTACGCTGCAGGGAAATAAAATGAAAGCTGTTTATCCATTATGGGATTTTCCTTAATGGTTTAATTCAAATGAAGAAGCAGATAAACCCATCAGATTTATGCTGGAGCTAATAGACTTGGACCTCTTCATTAGTTGATTTTGAAGGATCGCACAGACTCAACGGCCAATGTTTGAAGTACATGCCCCTATAGTGGTAGAGACATATATGTTAACTATGTATAGGACTATGTGGTGAGGTCAACAAAATGTATAAAAGGATGGATTCATGGCCTAGAGGTTCTAGTGTTCCCGTGTTTAACATCCACAGGGTTGCAAACAAAATAACCAAGCTCAAAAACAAGATCATCTGATTTCCACAACCAGATGAGCTTCAAATTACTGTCGCTTTTATTTCTAAAATGCAAATCTAACAAATAACCATACACAAGGAACAAAACAATCACCAAATACACAGCACCAGGGGTCCAGATTGGTCCAGCAAAAATGGCACGAAATGCTAAGTTTTACGCAAAAACCAGACAAAAGTATATATACATACACTTAGCTATATACCCAAAGAAGTTCAGTGAAGATTCTAAATTTGGAGGATAAACTTTAAGTTTTCACAGCTTTTTGGTTGTAGGAGGTTCTCCTAGATATTTGTATCTTAGATCCAATTCCTACTAAATTACTTAAAGAAATTCTACCCCTAACTAATATTACTTTACTGAATATAATCAATCTATCATTATCATCATGATATGTACCACAGTCCTTTAAGATAGCCATAATCAAACCCCTTCTCAAAAAACCCACTCTGGACCTTGAGATTTTAGCCAAATACAGACCAATATCCCTTTCCGGTCTAAAATCCTCAAGAAGGTTGTAACCAATCAGCTGTGTGAGTTTCTCCAGGAAAGTAATGTATATGAAGACTTTCAGTCAGGGTTAAGAGCTCATCACAGCACAGAGACAGCCTTGGCAAAAGTCGCTAATGACCTTCTAATAGCTTCAGATCAAGGGTTTGTGTCTGTTCTTTTCCTGTTAGATCTTATTATAGAGATTAGAACAGTTAATTGGCATAAAAGGAACCGCCCTAAACTGGTTTAGATCCTATTTTTCAGATCAATTCCAATTTGTGCAAATTAATGAAGAGCCATCTATGCGCACCAAAGTTAACCACAGTGTTGCACAGGGTTCTGTGGTCGGCCAAATGTTATTCTCATTATATATGCATCCACTAGGAAACATTATCAGGACACACTATGTAGATGACACCCAGTTATACTCATCAATAAAACCAGAACAGTGTAATCAATTAATCACTTGACTTCTTCCCAGGAGTCCCTGTGCCTTATCACTCGCAGATCCAGGGCCGTGAATGTGGCCACATCGTGGATTATGATGGTGGATCATGAATCAGAGATCATGATCATAATGGCGGATCCTGTATCGTGCTGGCATCTGATCGTAGTGGTGGACCATGACGGAAGTGGCAGCTGATGGTGGACCCTTAAAGCAGCAGTGGATCGTGATGATGGATCGTGGACTATATTTTTTTCCCTGTTAAAAGGGTTGTTGGTAGTTTTCCTTCCTCTCGTTGAGGGTTGAGAGCAGAGGATGTCACAGCTTGTTAAAGCCCTATGAGACAAATTGAGATTTGTGAATATGGGCTATACAAATACAATTTGATTGATTGATTGATTGATTGATTGATTAATTGATTGATTGGGGAGGTAAACAATTGTATAAAGTAAAGTTCTTATTCTTTTTTAAATGCACAATAAGAAGGTTTGGTTTTTTTGAACCTTGCATTTATGAATATAAAACTTGGCTAACAATATAATGAGGTTGCATAGGTACAATTCATCTTCTAGTTCTTTCTCATATGTTGTCAATCCAAATAGTGCTTATTTTAGACAAAGCACGAACTTGTCATAAGTATTGTCCAGGCTGAAACAGCAGATGTCAGAGGAACAGTCCGCGTCTTGTCCCGAGAGAGCTTCTGCTTCATGACGCGGTCGCGCTCTGTGACGTCACTGCGTCATATCCGCGCATGTGCGCTTCACAGGAGATAAACAAACCTGAGCGAGCCGCGATCAGCTGACGTCCGCCGAAGCAACAGTCACATTCAGGTAATTCCTCACCCGTTTCATCGACATGACATCAGACACCTAACATCTCCGCTCGTCCGTCCGCAGATGAGATGCGGTATGTCACGGCTGATATTCATTTTCGACCGTAATGCTAACTGGACGCTTACAGGCCCGAGCTAAGCTAACGGGTTGAGTCCGTCATGGAGCGGACATGCTAACGCCACACATGCTAATCCGCTTTGTTTGGTTAGGCTGGAAGCAGCGACTCGTCATGAACGTGTTGACCTGCGGATTGACTGACACGGCAGATGACAGACTGAGAGAGTAGCTCATTCAGTTTTCATTGACAACTGTGCTCAACACTCACACGGATGAAAACCTCATTCCAACCCTGACTGTCCAACTGGATCAGATGACAGAACAGATTCTAGCATCTGAATGATTGTGTACTGTCAGTGTCAAGAAGTCGAACAGCTTTGTTTTTGTCTCTGAAGAAAAATGTGGCTGAATCGCAAAGGGAATCTGCAGAGGTACTGTTGAGTAGAGTCGTGTGGCAGACACGTGACATCGAAGTTTATAAAATGTCAGAAGTGGAACTGCTGCTCAGTTATTCAGCAAATTATTCGAAAAAGAAGATATTTCTTCCAACTCTCGACAGCAAAAACAATGCCATGCAACGAAAAAAGCTTCCACAGGGCCTTGTCCTGTTTGTGTCTGATAAAGACTCAATTTACTGATCTGATGATTCCATTAAGTTTCTCACAGTGAGGCTCAAAGTGTCAAGTGTGAGACTATTAGCACAATAGTATTGGAGTTTAGTTCCTGGGAGAGAAAAATATTTAAAGGCAAGCAGAGTTAAAACTTTTTACTTTTGTGACATTCAATTGGAATTCATTAGATTTGCTACTAATGATTATTTTCATCAGCTGGCTATTGCATTGATACATGAATTAATCATTTGCGCTGTAAAATCAGAGAACAAAGCAGACTGGAAACTGAAAAGCTCTCTTAATGGCCTAGTTCATATATTATACAGTAACCAGTGAGAATCCTGAGGTTAACAGAGTTACTATGTAAAATAGGCTTTAGTTGCACCCTGGACAGATGATAGTGACTCATTGACGTGTGCTGTCTGTGTTTCAGGACAGGAAAACGGTAGAGGTGTGCATCTCCACTAGCCTCATGATTCGATTATGATTCAGCAGTCAACGATTCGAATGCACCTCGATACATTTCAATGTATCACATCAACAATTTTCTATATTACTGCACGTTGCTGCTTTTTCATATATTAATACAATCAATCAGACAATATGAACTGTTTGTATTTAGAAAGTGCTTTAAAAAGTATTATAGACTGTTACTGTAATTACAGTTGTTCCATGATTTACAGACTACAACAGTAAGTCTATGACAGTGGTCAGTGCTCTCCACACTTATTTGACTTTCAGTCAGTTTAGACTTGTGTGCTGCACCTAATTAAAGAGACATATTCTGATTAAAGCCTTTACTATCAAGTTGGCACTGCCTGGCCCCTTATCACTCACACCTAGAACTGATCTTGATAAAAACCTGCTGAATTCAAATTTATGTTCCTGGAAGAACGGGGCGTCGCTTATTCTGCAGCAATGAAGTTAAAACACTGTCTGCGGGAAGATTTTCTCTTCTGTCTGCAGTAGTGTGTGTGTGTGTGTGTCTGCTCATCTCTGTTACTCTTCACACACGAGCTGATAACCACCGTGTATTTAGTTTTTAATCAATGACGTCAGATCGTAGTCAGAATAGTTGCGGTCAGTTTAACCCTGACATCCTGACTGTGCACATCACGTTACGTCTTATGTTGTGTAGCAGGTTTAAACATGTGTCTCATAAACTCTGGAGTGAATGAAACAAACACAAAGTAAACATCAGTGAGGAGGAAGCAGAGTCTGACAGAGACTGTTACACAGGACGACCGGCTGGAACACTGCTGAAACAATGAACATAGTGGAAAACATTAACCAATTATGTTCTGTCACTGCATCGATGCAGAGTCATCCACGTCCATGATGTTTTCCTGTGGAAAACGGTAATATTTGAATCAACCGTGCAGATCTCCCAGATTTTCATATTACGTATTTATCAGAAGTCAGTTTTACTACGGCCTAAACTCCCGAACCATAGTTGTGTTCTTGTGGCAGCAGAAGAAGCTGGTCGTGAGGTACAGTATGAAACATATGGTTCAGTTCTCTTATCTCAGTCAGGATAAGAACGTCTTACTTTTTCGACATCGACATCGGCCAAGGCAGGGACCGGTTTAAAGCAATCACTGAGCTCAGGTGTGGACATCATTGTTGTACTGAGCTTATACTGCGAACCACACGCTTTCTCTGTTTGTCTTGTGTTTTCTAGTTGTGACTATGGGGAAGTCAATTTCCCACCTCACCAAGCAGAAAGGCCATGACGAGGACAGGCTCTCCTCTCCGGACGACGCCCAAACTGAGGATGGCAAGGACGGAGACGTCTCCCAGTTTCCTTATGTGGAGTTCACAGGACGGGACAGTGTGACGTGTCCAACGTGTCAGGGCACAGGGAGGATACCCAGAGGTAACACGACTGTGTGTGGGGTCTGGGTGGAGAGAGTCGAGCTCTTATACATGGCCTAGTCCAACATAATTATACAGTAACCAGTGAGAATCCAGAGATAAACCAGGAGGAGGATGTAAAATAGGCTGTAGTTGTGCCATGGACTGAGTTTCCTCACAGCTGACAGTGACTCATCAGTGTTTGTTGTCGGTTTCAGGACAAGAAAATCAATTGGTGGCATTGATTCCATATAGCGACCAAAGGCTACGGCCCAGGAGGACGTAAGTACTTTCGTGTGTTTGTGTGTCTGTGTGTGTGTCTTTTGAAGAGAACAACGCACACTATTTAAAATTTAAACAATATCTACTGCACAATCAACAGTGTAATGTATGTATATGGATTGCAGAATTAAAGCTACAAGGCTAATGCACGCAATAAAATAATTTCTCTGTTTTAATTTTTTTTACTGAATTTATAAAGTTGCACAAAATCTCCCTATAAGCGTGGAAAAACGTGCTATACTTCGGCGTGGCCACAGGAAACACATTTTGAGAGCAACAAATGAAGAACTGAATAAATGAAGTATATGGCGGTTGGCTTTTTTAATTAAGGACATGGCTACATTCACTTAAAAGTGTCAATGGTATAATCAACCCCAAAGGGCATTGGTGGTGTCATAAAAATAATGTTTTTAAATGTCAGAAATATGAAAACAAAGTCATATTTCAGTCTTTGAATTTGGATTTTTCACATCAAGCCAACATGTATGGCATGAAGTAAACAGGACTGATATTCTTATTCCACACATTGTCCTTTTGTGAAGACGGCATCATTTGCGGTTGAAGTTCCGTGTACTGCACAGATGATGCACTGTGGTTCTCTCACTGTAATTGAATAGCAGGAAGTTATGATGCAATATTAACATGAATACTATTGATGTAGATGGAGAAAATATACAGTATAACACAAGTAAGGCTTCTTTAAAAAAATAAATAGGAAAATAATGTAGATAATAATTAGATGGTATCACAGTATTAGCTTATCGCCCAGGGCTATGTACAAGTTAATTCTTGAGTGGTACAAATATTACCAGGACTAAATAACTGTTGGACAATGTGAGCAACAATACAACAAAAAGAATTGCACATTTTCAAATGAAACTCGTCTCACATTTTGTTATCACTGTGCAATTAGTAAGCAGTTCTCTACGTCTCCTTCAGGAAGTTGTATGTCTCGGCGTCAGTGGTGGTCTGCCTGTTACTGTCCAGTCTGGCCGTCTTCTTCCTCTTCCCTCGCTCCATCGACGTCTCCTATGTTGGGGTGAAGTCTATTTTCGTCAGCTACGACCAAGACAAGCGCAGCGTCTATCTCAACATCACAGTGAGTTTTTCCACTCCGGCAGCCTTTGATACTGAAATCTGCAGTGTGATGTACATCTTGAGCCTGTTGTCCACATGCAAACCCTTTTCCCCTTTTCTGTTTGTCTCTGTGAACATGTCAAATGTAGCATTTGGGAAACAATGACGTCACAGCTTACTTAGCACGTGGCCACTGCTGTTTAGCATAATGAGCATGCGCCAGAAACAACAACAAGGATGGCTATACACCAGTTAAAGGTCCAGTCTGTAAGATTTAGGTGAAAGGGATCTATTGACAGAAATTTAATGTAGAATAATGCTCATGATGTTTTCACTAGTTCATTTCATCTAAATTGTATGAATTGTAGTTTTCTTTACCCCAGAAAAGGCCCTTTATATTTAAATACTTTATATTTACACCGAGGGGGTCCTCTCTACGGAGGCCGCCATGTTTTTTACAGTAGTCTAGACTGGACGAACTAAACACCTTAGTGTTGTCACAGTACCAACATTTTGGTACCGGTACCAACATGTATTTCAATAGTTTTCGGTACTTCTCCAAATAAAAAGAAAACACAAAAAATGTCATTATTGACTTTATTTTAATAGTAAATCTTAGAACTATAACATTATGCATCAGTAAATAAAATAAAATACCTCAAAGACAGGCTTCAATTTTTTCCAGAGCTACTTTTATGGAGAGTGAAGGGGGCTCGCGTTGCTTGCTTTTAGCACTGAATGTGGCTTTTTTTCATGCGTATATAAGTTATTACCTGTCGTTTTCTGAACTCCTTGTGCAGGTCTGAGTGCTTGTCCTTCAAGCGTTTTGCCAAGTTGGAAGTGTTTCCACCCTTGGCCACACATGTTTTGTGGCTTCACCGTGCTCATTTGTTTTCAAGCCGAAGTAATTGTAGCACTTCACACACCTGGTTTATCTACAAGTTGCAGTGTGGTGATGGTTGCAGCAGCTGCCATTCTCTCTCTGCTCCTGTCTCTTTCTCTCCTTTATATCTCTCTGTCGCCAGACTCCTGCTCCGCGCTGCTCGCTCACTTGCTCGCCTGCCTGTCCCGGCTTGCTCACGCGATGACGTCACGCAGCGACGTAAAAAAAAAAAAAAAAAGTACTGGTCTTTTAAATGCATCAGTACCCCGGTACCAATTTAGTACCGGTATACCGAACAAGCCTAAAATGCTGTTTGAGTTTTTATGACAACTGAAGCTACCACAGGTTCTTTTTCATGTTTGGAAGGAGAGGGTGAGGTGAGGGGTGTTCAGCTACAACATGCAACTTCACCACTAGATATCACAACATTCTACACATTGAACCTTTAACTGGCAAATAAGCTTACTGATCCCCAAACCAACACCTTTAACTGATTCATTGTGATTGAGCAGGCAAAATGATGGAGAATATTGCACAGCAGTTGCAGAAATCCGTACACTGCATTTATGTTCTTAAAATTTGGGCACAGTACTTTTTGACATAATCTGCTTTTAGAAATGAACTGAACGTGTCTATGCAGAAAACCTCCTGCTGTGTTTTACATGTGTGAAAGGCAAACTTCGGGTAAAGCTGTACACAATTCTCCAGGCTACCTGAACAAGTAATCAGAGTGACTTTTGAACAGTATAGTGAGTGACATTGCAGTCCCGTGTAAAAGCATAAGACTAGTGACCTCCCCATTAGCAAACATCATGCATCAGAGTTGCTGTTTGCTGACTGTCGCTATCTGCACGGTCGAGGCCAATTAAGATGAACTCTGGACTGAAACACATATAAGAATTTGTCCAATGTGCAGACTTCAGTTAGAGTGAATATGAGGCAGGAGCAAATATTTAGAAGACATAATGTTAAGACACCTTTATGGAAAAAAAAAAGTGTTGCTTGGAGGTTCTAGATGACCACCAGTTGCACCAGATGTATTCAGGCATTAATCTACCTAAACCATTCTGAGTAGGTGGTGAGCTTAAGAAAGAGGAATGTTAGAGCAGTGATCTGTCAGAGCTGTGAGGGGTGTGAGTAGTATTTCCTTTTTTCAGCTGTTTGTAAATGTAATTGTAGTGTGAGTCAAGAGATCATAAGTCCACACTGGCTTTAATTAAAATGAGTCAACCTCACTCTTTTTTACTTCTCGCCTGCTTTTAGTTGATCAAAGGATTCAAGTTTTGAGCAGGATTACGCAAAAAAACTTCTCAATCGATTTCCATGGAATTTTAGAGGACGGTGGGGCAAGAGAAAAGGAAATGTGAGGTGATATTCAACATTTTAATTTTTCAGAGAATAATTCATGCATCTTGAAAAAAAATCTGATATGTTTAGGGCATTAATATTAATGAGTTTGTAAAAATATAAAATCTTATGTCTAGTGAATTTAAATGCGAAGTTGCATGTTACAGCTGAACACCCCTCACCTCACCCTCTCCTTCCAAACATGAAAGAACCTGTGGTAGCTTCAGTTGTCATAAAAACTCAAAAGGTGTTTAGTTTGTTCAGTCTGGACTAATGTAAAAAACATGGCGGCCTCCGTAAAGAGGACCTGATCCCGATGTAAATATAAGTATTTAAATATTAAGGGGCCATTCTAGGGTAAAGAAAACAATCATTTGTATGATTTAGGAGAAACACACTAGTGAAAACATCACTAGGATTCTTTTGTAATTAGTTTCTGCCAATAGATCCCTTTCACCTAAATCTTACACACCGGACCTTTAAACCTTTTCTGCTACTTCTCCTTCCAGAACACTCTGAACATTACCAACAACAACTACTACTCAGTGGAGGTGGCCAACATCACAGTCCAGGTGCAGTTTGCCAAGACAGTGATCGGTAAATCCCGCATCAAAAACATCATTGCCATCAGCCCTCTGGACATGAAACAGGTACAGTGTTTGTTCAGCAGGTCACCGCCTGGCTCTGTGGATACAACTCTGCTTTACTCTTTACTGCTTTTCTGTTTCCAGATTGATTACATGGTTCCCACCATCATCGCAGATGAGATGAGCTACATGTAGTAAGTAGTGTGTGTGCAGAGGCAGAGCATGGAAAACATGTAGATTTGCATAAATATAGAGGAGGAAATGTTTTGGTTTTTTTCAAGTGTCTCCCGGTCAGTAATGTGCTGGCATTAGCTTTTATCTTCTACTCTTTAAGGCATCAATTTTAGATTCTTACCATCAAGTAGATAGTTGAGTATAAGTAGAATATGTTTCTTAGCAAAACAGAAGAAATCATTTTTTTATTTGCATGTCCCACTCAAACCACATGGTGGCAGTACCAGCTAGTTCTAAAATGACATCTGGCTGGATGCGTGAGATCATTGTAAGGTCATTGTGAATATGCCTGTTTGGAATGCGCTGTCATTATTTACTTAATTAATGTTATGTTTTCATATATTGCATATGGCTACTTCAGAGGTCTATTCTTCTGACCTACATTCACAAGCAACAAAAACACGTTGTGCTTTAACTTTGAAGACAAATTGCCAAACAGGAAGTGATTCTGTGAATGTTGGCATGACAGACATCAACACCTTATCTACACTCTAAAAATACATTATGAAAATGATATGGCTGCAAGTTACTTCCCGCTGCTGTTGTTTATGTGGGGATGTAGAAGAAGACTTGTTCAACTCGGTCCACAGACTGGAGTCACACTGGCCCATCCCCACTGACTGCAGAGCGCTAGTTGCTTGTTTATTTATGATTTATTATATTCCACATACAGTCAGACAGACAGGTATCAGTATCAGTAGGTAGGTATTATATATTATGAATGCTCAGAAACTAGTGCAGGAATAGGCTGGGCAAGTGTAAGAGGCCCTCTTCATAACATGTTTAGGCAACCTGAATTCTTTAACACGAGTGACAGTGGGTGATCCAATGAGTTGTTCTTATGTAAGAGTTCCTCCAGTCCTGGTTGGATATTCAAATTTCACATATTAACTTCAATTTTACAGCTTCTTTTCAGACGCCCCCAGTTTAAGTATCTGTATTATGATAGCATTCAGTAGAGCCTCACAGAGCTGGCATGGCTGCTCTTGTGTCCTTCACAGCAGTTGTGAAACAATATGTAGTAATTAAGTCAAAATGTCATAATCTTGCAATGCAGGTGAAATCATGAATCAGCCATTTTTTTTGTTAAATATCAGCATTATTATATGATATGGCACAGCCCTGAATTTAAGAGTCCCACCTTAACTGTGATGTTTTAATCTTTACTCTTAGTTATCCACTCAGACACCAGTAGATTTTTCAGGTTAGGAAGATTCTCCCTGCTGAAAACACTGTCAGTAATTTTCTAATTGCTCCACAATGCACAAGTACTAACATTTGTTTTATTTCCCAGTGACTTCTGCACGCTGCAAACCATCAGGGTTCATAACATTGTCCTCATGATGCAGTAAGTTGTGTTGATCCTCCTTCAAATTTACACCATTGAGTTGACTGTGTAAGCTCTAACCCCGTCCCTCTCCACCCTCTGCAGAGTGACCGTCACAACAACGTACTTTGGCCACGTGGAGCAGGTGTCTCAGGAGATGTACCAGTATGTGGACTGTGGAGGGAACACCACCTCTATCAGAGAGATGACCGAGCCGTTCAACATCCCACATCCTGCTGAGTAGCCCCCACCTTTGTGCTCCTCACTGGTCCTGACTCAGGCCCTGGATGGTCAACTTAGGTGGTTTAGGGTGTTCCCACTTCTCTTATACCCTCAGGGTCTAACAATCTGCTGTTCACATGATAGTTGGGGGTGTAGTCCGAAACCAACACTAACAGAAATCCACACTATGATAAGAAATGCACCCAGGGAAGTTCAAAAATCAAAATTGTGTAGAAGCACATTGCATTCAGCAAAGAAAGCAAATCAGCACAACCTTATGATTCCAGCAGAGCGTTGCTAATTAAGAGATCTGTATCCAAAATATGTTTTTGTCCAAATTACAAGTGAACTCTTAATTTTCACAAAAATCCCAATCCCGAAATTATAAAGCATTTCTAAAATGACAAAATCATTACCTTGAAATTAAGAGAGGAGAATTTGCTGCAATATGATAAAGTTAGATTTAGTTAAATCATAGATATTTCATAATGTAAACAAAATATTTTTTTAACTCGGGTCCTTCTAATTGTGAGGTACGCTTCTCATCTGAAGATACAGAGCTTATATTTGTGAGTCTATTTTAATGATATAATAATTTCAAATCTCAGAATGTTGAAATAAGAATCTCATTGTCATGAGACACTAACATATAATTCTACCCAACGTCTCAAATCTTCTCTCCCTGGTGAATGCGGTGTGCTCTCCACAATGTCGACCGGTTTAGGTGGCCTGCCATTCATTTGCAAAATTGGGCGAGTGTTTGATAGTCCAGGTGCAGTTCTGACTTCTCAGTTCTCTTTTCCACCCGTTGTAGCGTATGAGAATGTGAGCCGATGAGTTTTATCTTTCACCACCATCTGAAAGCAGTTCATTTCTATTTCAGGACTGTTCATTTTATCTCTAATATAAGTGCCAAAATAATACCTGAATTTCAGTCGCAACTTTTTTCGATACCTTAGTTTGCAGTGTTGAAGTTTGATGCCAGAACTAATTTCAATATAAGAAGTGGTGGCACGTGTCGTTTGCATGATGTAAGATTCATTTAATGGATACAAGAGTCACCATCATATCTCGTATCTAGTAGCCTAAAGGGTTGTTGTGATTCCTCTCCGTTTAACCTGCCCCACATGCTAAAAGTTAAGTATTGGATTCAATGTATTCTAATGTCAAATGAAATATCAAAACTTCATCATTATTATTTCACTTCCAATCAAACCATAATGTGTTTCACAGGTCTATATATAAGGCACTTTTTATTATTGGTCTCAACTTCACTAAAACTTGTGTATCCACTACAGTGTGTTGGGCTCTGTGAAGATGAGTCATGAAAACATGGTGTGATTACAGCACAAACATATACAGATGCTGTTCTGTTGGATACTGACATAAGTAAATTTTATCCATAGTATCTGCTTTGATTTTTTTTTTTTACATTCTGCTTACTTGCACATCGTAGCTCTTGGCTGTCAGGTGCTCATTATTGGTTTGTTGCTAAAATGGAGGCTTTCCTGTTGCATTCCAGTAGAACATTCTGACGGTGGCAGGTTGTCACAATTTTTAATGTCTGTGCGTTGTACTTGTCCATCTTTTAAGAGAAAGTTTTTTTTTTTTTTTTTTTTTCCACTGTTAGAAGAGATGTTTTAATCTAATGTTTGCAATTTAAAGACCTTGGGCTTCATCACACCAGAATCCAAAATAACATTTGGAGTAAAATTGGTTCATTTCAGAGGAAACAGGGGATTCACCCAACAGGGAGGAAGTGAATTGCATCACATCTTGCACATCATCTTTAACTTTGAAATATTTGTGCAAATAAACAAAAGCAAAAGAAGTCCTGAGACGATGTCTCGCCAGGAGTAAAAGCTGAAGAGGCTGCTTTGTACAGTTATGAGTTTAAACAGCAGAAGCACAGATATATGCATATTCGAGTCAAGTGGGAGTAGCAATGTATTTTTCATTCTGTAAATACTGAAAGTATAGTTTATATTCAATCGTGTTTATTGTGTCCGCATAGAAATGTAACTAAGGATTTTGGAAGATTACACTACATCTGTAACTTGAATTGTTTTTGCACCTTTAACAGTCCCTATGAAAACTTAACTTAAAATGATTTATGAAAAAGTATTTATTGAAGACTCGCACGCTTACACCCACATGAACAGATAACCTTTGAAAAGCTATGACTCCTACCTCTTCGCACATGTCAAACATTTTGTTGCTATGTGTTACTCGTGATGGTTTGTTTTGAATAAAGTTTTACAATCAAGGAGTTAGTTTTTTCTACCTACTAACCTCACTTTAGTGAATGGTAGGAGGCAGACGGACTGCATTTATATAGCACTTTCATTGTTAGCTTCTTATCGACGGCTCAAATGGCTTCACACACTACACATTCACACAGTATTCTGTACCCTTCACACATCTTTCACACACTGCTGACATAGTTGTCAGGCCTCAGTTTGGCCTGTGGACTGGATTGAATTTACATATTTTGGAAAAATGTTGAAAAGCAGCACTGAGGTTCCCTTTTGTGTAAACTTGTAGGCAGTGTATTGTTCAGTCATACAAAGTAGTGATTGTTATCTTATTATCTGTAAGAAACATTCAAAACAATGAATGGCACGAAGATAATTGTTTTAAACATAGCTGAGACTCTGATGTAACTGCTCATATCTACCATTAATGTCATTAAGTTGTTTGGCCACTCGGCGCGAAAGGCTGGCGTGGCCAATAGGTCTCATCAAATCTCAACATAGGGAAGAGAACTCGCTTGGTATCTGCTTATAATGTGTTTAATTCATAATGTTACGATTTTTAAAGTGCTTTGAAGAGTTTATTGGATGAAATTCCATCACATGCAAGGGCACTGGGTTGGGTGTGGTCAGCTACAGTCAGTATGGTCAGAGTTGGTTTGTGTGTGTGTGTGTGTGTGTGTGGGGGGGGGGGGGGCAAAAATGGAAGGCAGTTGCACTCCCAAGACACTCAAAACAGTATTCCTGGATGGCAGGGAGATTTCCAAGAGGAGGAGCCGCTGAGGAAATTCTTGATGCCTGCAAAGGTTTAATGACTTGCTGTGCAGAACGTGATCGATTTTTTTTTAATTCAACACAGATCGAATTGAATTCGTTGACAATGGCATTGATGGCAATGTGACATTGCCAATGTCCAAAACCTGGACAAATATTTCGTTCCATTCCAAATTTTGTTCCAGTCAATGAAGTCAAATGACCTACAGAAGCAGCTGGTATGTACAGTATGATTAATAGCAAACAACCTGGGTAGAACAATGATCTCCCAAACCAATCAAAATACAACTTAAATATTAATATAATATATCTGTCTTGAGGAGGTACTGATGAGATGATATAATTCAGAAAACAAAATCTTATTATCCATGTAGATTCATTGCATTGTTAACACCATTGTTGAGCAATGGTTGGAAGAGGAGGTACAAAGGCAAAAGAGAATGTCTTCTTAATAAATATATATTTGGAGCATATATGCTGTCATCTCAGCAGACATCTAGATACGAATGGTTATGTATGATCACATTATTAAGTTATAGTGGATGAGTGTGATACTGTTGTACAGTTGTGAACAGATCTTTGTGATTGACACTGTTTCTGATCATTCAGTGGCATTATTTTCTTATTTAGGGTCAACCACTGAGTATAGATCCAGCTGCTCCGAATACTAGTCCAGATATTGGGCTGATATTGGTGCAGAATGGAATTGCATCAAATAACTCTACCCTATACTAACTCTTAAGAATAATATTGTTGGCTTATGGAAGATCGTTTTGTCTCTTATGCCTCATTGTGATTGTGTGACTATAAAACCTTATCTTCTCAATTGACTTGAGTTTTGGTCCTCCATACCTCTCCCGGGGATATTTCTCTCCAACGTGCGTTCACTAGCCAACAAACTGGATGAACTTCAGCTCATGATGACTGGAGACAGATACTTTTCTTCATCTTCCGTCTTGAGTTTCACAGAGACGTGTCTCTGTGAATCAATACCGGACTCTGCGCTGCAGCTGGAAGCCTTCCAGCTGTTCAGAGTGGACTGCAACACGGAACTCTGGTGGGGGGGAGAGACTTAGAGATCACATCTCTCCCATTTTGGCTTCTTTACATTGGCTACCTGTTAAATCCAGAATAGAATTTAAAATTATCCTCCTCACATACAAAGCTCTTCATGGGCAGGCACCATCATATCTCAAAGAGCTCATAGTACCCTACTACCCCTTCAGAACACTACGCTCTCAGAATGCTGGGTTCCTTGTGGTTCCCATAGTCTCCAAAAGTAGATTGGGAGCCAGAGCTTTCAGTTATCAAGCTCCTCTTCTGTGGAACAAACTACCATTTTGGGTTCGGGAGGCAGACACGGTCAACACTTTTAAGAGTAGTCTTAAGACTTTCCTTTTTGATAGAGCTTTTAGTTAGGGCTGGCTCAGGTCATCCCTTAGTTATGCTGCTATAGGATTAGACTGCCAGGGGACACCCCGTCCCTCCCCTCTTTCTCCCTCTCTCTCTCTCTCTCTCTCTGTCTCTTTCAGGGTTATGCCTAGTTCAGCACGGTATTGGTTGAAGATGTAGTCACATCTCCCTTTACTGAAAACTCTTCTCAAACCTCCTCTCTCTCTCTCTCTCTCTCTATTATCAGAATCAGAATCCTTTATTGTCATTGTTTAACATTGTCACCAACATTCAACATTGAAAATTCTTTTTGCAGCTCTTCTTGTTACAGCAGCGATCTAAAGATTTTAGAAATCAGACAGAATCAAGAAGTAAAATTCAAATGTACAGTATTTATTTATTTTTGTTTTTTCCTTTATAAAAACCCAGCTAAAAGATAAACATATTAAAGTGTGACAGTGTAGTAACAGTATAATAATAATGACAGTGCAAATAGTACAGTGTACAGTAGGACAGGCAGTCTGACTGTCCACCTGAGTTGTAGTGCAAAAAAGTATTGATTTTGTGCAAGAATTACAGTTCCAGAATAATAAATAAAAGATTCACATTGAATACCCTTGGGATAGACTGTGTGTGTGTGTGTGTGTGTGTGTTGTTTACAGTCCTTGGGTAGAATGGGAGAGGGGGGTAGGTATGTGTGTGTTTGATTTTTAACAGTCCTTGGAAGGTGTGGGTGGGGGTGGGGTGATGGCTTTAACGGCCTGAGGGTAAAAGCTGTTTAAGAGTCTTGTGGTTCTGGCTTTGAGAGAGCGGTATCTCTTACCAGAGGGGAGGGGGGCGAATAGGGCATGTCCAGGGTGTGTGGGGTCTGTGCTAATGTTAATGGCCTTCTTATGGAGTCGGCTAGTGTAGATGTCTCTGAGGGGGGGGTAGTGTGGTCCCTATGATTCTTTCAGCTACCCTCACCACCCTTTGCAGGTCCCTCCTTTCCTTGACGGTGCAGCTGGCAAACCATCATCACCATCTGCAAAACATACATGTAAACATACATGTCTCATTAATGCATGTTACTAACTAAACTTCCTCCCCAGAGTTTCTGTGCTCTCTCGTCCACCAGGTTCTCATGGATCATGGCTGCTCCCTGTATTGGATCATGGTTCCCACTACTGCCACGGCCCTGCCTGACACCCACCACTACTGTTATTATTATTATTAGTCATAAGTCTATGACATTAATATTAACGTGCATATTATTGTAGCATTGTTATAACCCACCACTATATATATAACCACCACTGCTAACCACTGCTACTGTAATCATTTGGTCATTCATTGTAATTGTACAATATGTTTCTGTTGCTTTGTTCTGTAGGACAGAAGGTTTCTCTCCCTGTACAGATTGTAAAGCCGCTGAGGCAAAATGTGTTTTGTGAATTTGGGCTATACAAATAAAATGTGATTGATTGATTGATGGACAGGGCATGACAAATACGGAGATGGACACAGTGGATGACGGTAGTTTAAAGTATTTATTATAAATTAAACATCCAAGAATTAACAATAAAGGTGGAGTGTGTATGTCAGTAGTGTCAGTAATGTCGATGTGAGTGAGTGAGCATAGTGTTGTGGACAAACGTGCAAACACTTGCCCGGATGAGTCAAAGTGAGAGAGAGGGACCCGTGCGTAAAACCGGATGGACGTGTATCCTGAGGAATGCGCAGCTGAGCTGAACCCGCTGGCTGTCACCACCTCGCTCCTCTGGTCCTCCTCGCTCCTCCTCTAAAACTAAGAATTGCTCAAATTCATATTGTAGTAAAACAGAAAGTGGAACTGGATCACATAAACCAGTACATGTCTCACTTATCACTCATGTGATACCATTCACACCTCTCACACACACAGACACACACAGCTCCGCCTACTGAACCGTCAAGGAAGAGGAAGTATCACTGAAGAGAAGCAGAGAGAAGTTTCTCTTCAAGTATTTTTGTCTTAAAGTTTTTCACTTTTTAACCATGGCGTGTGATGGCTTGTCTGATGAGAGGATAGGAAAGGCCCTGATCAAAGATGTAATTGAGGAGGAACTGAAACACACAGCCTCAGACGACGTCCCGTCCCTCAAACTCTACACTGTGGAATTAAAGAATGAGGAGGACAAGCTTGTGGACCAGCTGAGCACATTGGTCCGCAAAATTGGTGACAAATTAAAGGATGACGCGGAGATCCGAGATGAAATAGACGGGCTTGCACGAGGCTTCAGGTGGGACAGATTTAACTCAGTGGCAAACAAGGTGCTTGAGGATGGGATCACCTGGGAGAAGATTGCTGCGCTCATCTACGTCGTCGGCAAGTTGGCAGTCAGAATGGTGGAGGCGCATATGCCTCAGTCAGTGATGGAGATCCTGAAGTGCACCGTGGACTTTTTCAAAAAATATCTCCTTTCCTGGATTTTGCAGCGAGGAGGATGGATCTGCAGCTTCTCAGAGCTGGCGGTGGCGTCCATGCAGACCGCGTCATCCATGAGCTCTGACAGAGGAGGCCTTGTCATCACCTTCTTCGCCGGCATAGCTCTCGGAGGCTTCATCACCTGGAGACTGACCAGTTGACTCAGGGGCAGTTTGTTGGTGCAAACATTTTCAAAGAATGATTTTCTACTTTTCTAATTCTCTAGCAATTTCTCTGTAAAACTGGAAAACTTGGGGGTGACAGCAATGACACTAGGGCTGCCGGGGGGGTCTATAAGATGTGTTGCTATTTGGCAGAAATCCATTTAGTTTGTTTTTTAATTCTAAAATTAAAAATCCATCTTTACTGCTGTAATCTTTGTTTTGTGGTCAGCAATGTAAT